AAAGAAAGAAAGAAAGAAAGAAAGAAAGAAAGAAAGAAAGAAGAAAGAAAGAAAAAAAGAAAGAAAGGAAGAAAGAAAGGAGGAAGAAAGAAAGAAAGAAAGAAAGAAAGAAAGAAAGAAAGAAAGAAAGAAAGAAAGAAAGAAAGAAAGAGAGAGATAGGGAGGGAGGGAGGGAGGCGGAGAGAGAGAGAGAGAAAGCCCCCCTCCCATGGAGTTGGTCATGTTGCAATTCCTTCTCCATTTGTTTCAGAATTTGGGACAGATGCACACATGTGCCTGGCGCATTTTTCAACCCATTGGGTCTGGTACTCAAATTGTGCAGCTGGCCATGTGGGATCCAGCTCATGTAACTACCAGGCTATGGGCTGGTCCCAGTTTCTTCCCTCAGAATAGAACACTTCACAAAAATTCATGTCAAAAAAAAGGATTGGGCCCATGTGTGTAGGCAGCACAGTGACCGTGCAATGCTCTGCAATGCCAGAGGCCATATGGAAGATTGGAGCTCTGTTTCCAGGCTACTAGTACACGTGGGGTGCATATGTGTATATGCCTGTGATCCTGGCTAGCTAGGAGAGCCTGGGGAGAAGGATCCTAGTGTGAGACCATGTCGAGGGTGCTTTCTCTCTCTTTTTCTCTCATGAAAGAAATGCTTCAAAAGGAATTGATACACGCAGCAAAGGTTCTAAAACAGATGTGGAAAATAACAACAAAACTGAACCAAGTATTGTAAACTGGGGAGGTTCTTTACATATTTGAATCATAACTCTTAGAGAACTGAGGATCATGCAATCACTTTGGTGTCATCAGGGTCCAGACTACAGTGTTAGATTAAGAAGAACTTGTACTTTTACAACATTTTCCAACTTTTCATTTCTAATACTATCGTGTTTATCTTTTTATTTTCACGACTTGCAAGCCTACTAAAGCAAGGAATATTTTTCTGATGGCTGAGAATATCAAGATACAAAGGCTCAACCAGCCATAGTTAATACCAACAAAGGTGACGCCTGGACCACTAGTGTAAGACTCTTTCCGAGATACCAGGCATGGGTCGGAATCAACTCTGTGTGTCTTAAAAACACAGCTGTCTGGCTGACAAATCACAATCTCACAGGGTGGGGCCTACTCATCCACAATTTCTTTAAAGCTCTCTAGGCAATTCTTCTGTCCACTGAAGTCTGGGGAGCCATGTAACAGATAACAGTTCCAAGTGCAGGGGGGACCCTATCTCAGTTCATCTCAGCCAGCCCGGACCAAGTCTGAAATTAACTGGCCACGGAGCACTTGTTTTCTTTGTTACCAGTCATCAGATCCAAAGGTGGTGAAAATGTAATGTGGTTTTTAAAGCCTCTAATCATAGCATGCCCAAGAGTCCAACATATGGGGTGGTTACTCAATACAATCAAACCTTTTCTCAGTGGGTTATCATGATCACAACACTTCATGGCACACCAAGGATAATGAAGGAGGAAAAAGGCAAAGAATTTCACCACCATTTTAGAAAGGAAAACTACCAACAAAATTAGGAATTCACAACAGAGTACCATGAGCTAAATCTTTATGTAATAACATAGATAGCTCTCTAAGGCAGACTGCTGAATTTTTTTTTTTTAAAGGCAAGGTAAGACTACCACACACAGTAAAAAACCATTTACAATATATACACATACTTACACACAAAGTGGCATTTTTTTTCTCTAGGTATAAAGAAAAGCTTAAGAAAAGGTATAAGACAACACTGTCCCACACAATAGACACTAGCCACATAAGGACATTTGAATTGAAATTACTTCACATTACATACAATGAAGAAGAGTTCGGTCCTCAGTCACACCAGCCACACTTACAGTCCCCCACACCCCCCAGCCACACTTACAGCGCTCAGGAGTACCTGTGGCTAGTAGCTACTGGACCAGACAGCACGGACAGAACATTTCTATCATCACAGAGAGTTCTATTAGACAGTTCTGGTCTAGAAAGATCCAGTTGATGGAAAAATGGAATTAAAGTATAAGTTTATTTTGGTATAAAAAAATCCTGAAATCCATGCATAGTTCTTTCATTATAGCACTTCCCATGAGCTTTTAGACAATTCCTTGTAAACTCGTAAGGGGAGTTGACCTGGCTGGGGAATGTGGGCTTAGGCAAAGTTGGGAGTAGGAGACAGAAGAGGGATAGAAGAACTTCAGTCTTATCTGTAAATTTTACTTAAATTTCCCTATTTTAAAGATAAAACAGTTCTGAATTGCTATATAACTTCATCATCATAAAAACTACAAAGGTAGGGACCAGCAATTGGCATAATGGATATGTTGCTGAACTCCCATGTGGTCAACCACGGTTTGAGTCCCAGACCTGGTGGCTTAAACTCACGCCGGGCGCGTGTGCGTGTGTGCCCAAGATCCCAAGAGGAGAAGGGATTACAGCGTGGCCATCACCCCTGAGAGTGATTTCTCACTTTCTGTCTGTCTCCCTCTCTCTTTCTGGTGAGCACACATGCCCTATAGCAAAAATCTCTCCAAACAAAACAAAACAAAACAAAACAAAACAAAACAAAGGTAGACTTTTCTTAAAGATATACAAAAATACACAGGAAACCTGGAAAAATGTTTAGTATCCCACTGACAGCTCTCGATTGGTATGTGTAGGGTATTACAAATATTTCAAAGTTCTGAAGAGGATTAAGAAAATTCAAATCAAGAAAAGAAAGAAGGCCCTGAGATTTGCTACAGCTTAGAAATTATTGATAGATGAGCTAAAAGATGGGGGTGGGGATTTTAAAAAAGGTCATGGAAAATGTATAATAGGAAAAGACTATGCATGAACTTCAACATTTTCTGCCCCCAAAGAAACTCATTCTTTAATTTTATTTCTCCCCAAGTTTTTTATAAAGTCCCCTTCTATTTAGTTAATAAGTACTTTAGAACTATATAGGCACTGTGGAAAGAACACAGGGTTGCAAGTTTAAACTTAAGATCTGAATTTCAGCTCTCCATTTAGTTGAATGCTCTTAAAGAAGTTGTTTAAACTCGCTGGCTCTCTATCTGCTCATCTGTGAAATGGGAAATATTTAACTTAGAGCATCAAGGCAACAGCTACTAGCTACCACCTATTATATATATCTACTATATTAAAATTTCAAATGGACAAAAGTGAAATCATGAATTTCTTGATAAAATTTTAAATCTATAGGGCCAGCAGGTGGTGTGGTGGTTAAGTGCTGGACTCCTACATGGCCAATTGCAGTTAGAGTCCTGGACCCAGTGACTTGAAACTTACACCGGTACATGTGCGTGCCTATCCCCCTGGGGGGTGATTTCTCACTTTCCCTCTTTCTTTCTCTGTCTCTCTTTCTCTCTGGTGAGTACATGTGCCCTATGGCAATAATCTTAAAAAAAAAAAAGTTTAAAATCTTTCTAAGATCGAGAACTAATTTTGTTCTTAAAATAAGAGCTGGGGGGTCAGTAGGTGGTGTGGTGGTTAAAGGCGCTGGATTCCCACATGGCTGACTGCAGTTCAAATCTCAGACCTGGCAACTTGCTTTCTTGCTTTCCCTTTCTCTCTCTCTGGTCAAGTTAAAAAATAATAAGAACAAATGGAATTAAATAAAAAATTCTAAAAACAAAAACAGAAAACAAGAGCTGGATAAGACATGCTGGTAATACCTAGCTTAAAGACCAAGAAATCAACATACACAGAGGGGGAAAAAAATCTATCCTACTATGTATGCTCTTCACATGTCTGAACTGATTCATCTTCATGAGTAGGTACCATTATTATCCACACCTTATAGAGGAGGAAAATAATGCCCAGATATAGTACATAAAATGTCCATGGCTGTACAGTTAGAAAGTAGTTCAGGGGGCCAGCAGGAGGCGTTGTGGTTAAGGCACTGGAATCCCACATGGTCAACTGTGGCTCGAGTCCTGGACCTGGAGGTTTGCTTTCTCATGTTCTTTCTCTCTTTCTGTCTCTCCCTGGCTAAATAAAAATAATAATGATGATAAAACTTTTAAAAAAGAAAGTAGTTCAGTAGGGATGCAAACCCAAGCAGTCTACTATGAAGTTCATTCTATTTTAGTACCACATTACATATACTGTAATAGAATACAGAGAATGGGTCTGGAAAATCCACACAAAATGACCTAAATGTGTTGGTTATAATACATTAAATCAGCAAGATCATGAGAAATAACAAAACCTAAAAGTTAAGAGTGGCATAGTGGTTAAGGTGCTGGACTCCCATATGGTCAATCATGGTTTGAGTACCCAACCTGGTGGCGCTTTTTAATTTTCCCTTTCTCTCTCTGTCTCTTTCTGGTCACATTGTTCAAAATAACAATGATAAATAGAATTGAATTTAAAAAAACTATTCAAAATAGAGACAGAAATAATATAATTGGCTATTAATTCATCCCAGGATACAACAGAGTTAAAGAAAAAATGAAAACATAGGCTAGTGGGCAGGAAGACATCATTGCAGTGGGGCTGACACTCTACTTCTTAGGGCAGTGCACAGATTTAGCTGTATTCTGATGAGCCTGTGCCTTTGCTCCTGCTGTCTGCACACCTCCACTCTGACCCTCTCTCCTGGTGCTTCCCTTCCTTACCACCTGTCTGATGGAAAGCTGCGCATACTTTAAACCGAGCTTCTAACTCTTCTTTATGCACATTGACTTTAGGAGGCATGGGTCACCACCCAGCCATTATGCAGCATGCGAGCCACGTGTGCCACTAAAAGGTCTGGAGCATTAAGAGCTATACGGATAGCATTTCGGAGGGTTGAGGGCACGAACTTCTCAGGCCGCAAGTGATTATTTGGTTATGGCATATTTATAGCTCACTGAATTACTGACCTGTTCTGAGGCTAAGTAATGCTCTAGGAATAGATACTTAACACACGAACAAATGAATAAACAAACAAGTGTTTACCCCAATGTGGAAGAGAGCGCTAACAGGCTTGTGGTCGCTGGTTTTCAGTTCCATGTGACTCCGGTAGTGAAGCTGATTAACATTTGTTCCTCTCCAAAGAATTCGGTCACACCAGGCTGGAACCCGACATTTCCCACTGTAAATGAAGAAATCAGCTATAAAGAGAACATACTACACAAGAACATAATGCCTACTACACTGGTTTAGACCTAGGTTAGGCCCTCTGGTCATATGCTCATGGACTTCTCCTTTCTGCACCACCCCTAAGTAGCATCTTCCCTACTTACTGTACTGCAAGCGCAGCGAAGCAACTGTGTCTGTGGCCACTGAGCTCTCAGCGCTTAGCATGGTATCTGGTGTATAGCAGGTGTTCAGTGAATACTTAGCTAATAAATGAATAAACGGATCTATGACTAGGATTTTTTCAATAGAGTTGCCATAGGAGAAAATGTTAATGCCTTTAAAAAATATGCTCAGAAGGGCAAGACTATATTCTGAACACTTCCTCTTCCTTTGCTTTATGAAGTACAGGGACACTTCACAACAGACAGATAACTAATCGAGAGCAAACATCCAATCCTCTGTTCCTAGACTGGACTTAATCTGAAGCGGAATAATAGTGAAGATTTCTCAAAAGCCTAATCATCATCCTATTAAAAAGAATCAACACCTCGTACACCTGATCTAGAATGTAACTCAATTATTTGTTTTTCCATTTTAAAAAGAATTATTAATTTATTATTACTTTAAGAATTATTTTATTTATTATTACTATTTTTTAATTTGACCAGAGAGAGACTGAGAGGGGAAAAAGTGAGAAAGCAAGCTGCCAGGTTTGGGACTCAAACCGTGGTCACCCATGTGAGAGTCCAGCACCTTAACCACTGTGCCACTTGCCAGTCCTGACACAAGTATTTTTTATCGGTAGCTCTTCAGTTGACTCTCAAGTCAGGTGAGGGGAAGAAGCAAGGCAAAGTATAAAAGACCTGTCACTGTCACTTTTCATTTGTTGACCAGTTCCCTCAGAGCACAGGAATGTAACCAGACTCCTCCCCACCCCACCCCAGTGCTCTCAGAGTCTGAAGCAGTTGAATTTGCCCAGGGAGTCTCTTTTTCTTTCAAGCTTCTGTGCTCAGCCAGCTAGAAACCACAAGAAATGAAGAAATAGACAGCAGGTAGAAGAAAAATAGCTATCTAGAATTTATTGACAGGGGCACTTTATTGGAGTGGTTATGAAATCAAAGGGCCTCCTGGACAGTCTTCTCAGGTTTCTCTAGCAGTGGCAGATGTGGGATCCAGACATCAGTATTTTCAAACACATCCCAAGGGGTTCTAGTGAGTTCTCAGGATTGAGAACTACTGTGCCATTAATTCAGGCCAGGATGCAATAGAGTTAAAGAGAAATAGAAAACCGACGCTCCTGGACAGGAGGACTTCGCTATAGTAGGCGTGACACTGCACCACTCAGGGCTCTTTGTTTTTATCTTCTGGTATCCTGAGCTAACTGCTTAGAAAGCAGTTTGGAAGGACGGTCAGGGCAATAGGCAAGAAACGGGGGCAAGATCTGGAAGGCAAAAACCAAGGGGACAGAAATAAGGCCCTGCGGGCAGCCCCTTAAGCCCAAGCAGCCCTGCACATAAGTGGTACTTTCCTAAGGTAAGCTCACTTCTGAATAAGCACGAGTTAAAAGCTCTTCTGTAGTATCACTGAGTCATTTTATATCTCCTTTTGGCATGACCTAAAAAATTCCAAGCCCCTTACCAATAGAGAAAAGCAGAAATAAGATCATGTCTTAACCTATTCTGTGAGAAGGTTCTTATTTCTTTACCTGGAATCCCATCGGTCTGTTTTAGAGTCATACTTATAAGTGGGGATAAACTTGATTTCCCCTTCGTTGAAGTCGACAAAAGCTTTTTTCTGTGTGCGCTGAATATTTAGCTACAGAGAAAAAAAGCATCACATAAGCAGGGTACCGTCTTTTTTTTTTTTTCTGTGTGTACTTGCCAGAGAGAGAGAGACAGAGATAGAGAGGCAAAGCATCCCCAAATGGGGTGTGGTCATACCACAATCCTTTTTCCTTCATTTCTGTACTCCATCAGGATGTTAGGCACATGAGTTCATGTGTGCAGTGTGTTTCTCAAGCTGCTACAGCCAAGATTCAAACCATACCAAGTTGGCCACATGGAATCAGGACCCAATGCACATGGCTTTAACCACTGTGTAACACGGCCAGCTCAACACCATTTGATAAGTGAAAATCAGGTTGATGAGCCACTGCTTCCGTTTCTTCTTCTTTTTAAAAAAATTTGTATTAATTATTATGATTTTTAATTCTTTCAATTTGACCAGAGAGAGACAGAGAGAGGGAGGGAAAGTAAGAAAACAAGCCACCAGGTCTGGGATTCGAACCACGGTCAGCCATGTGGGAGTCCAGCATCTTAACCACTATGCCACCTGCCAACCCCAGTCACTGGTTCCATTTCTAAGTATCAGTTCCAAATACTTACAACTGTGAGAGAGTACATAAATAACATTTCTGTACCTTATGAATTAAATCTTGGCATTTCCACAGCACCTGAACTCACTCTCAGGATGATCATTATTAGCACACCACTAATTTTTTCATTATCAACAGCGACCGGGGTAAAATGGAAAAATGAAATCTGAATAACTTTAAGTTCATTGGAGCCAGACAGGAACCACCCAGTAGGATTTTAATTTAAAAAGCACACAAATGTTGAATGGATAATTCCCCAAACCAAATTCAGTGAATAGTTACAAATTGCTTTGAAAGTTATTGTCACTCAAATATTTTACGAGTTACATAAGACTCAGAGCTTATTCCCGCTGGATCCCTACTGGAAGCAGCACAGAGGACTGAAGGCAAGAAATGAGCCTGCCAGCCTCAGTGCGAAGGTGGACACACATGGCCAAGAAAGGCTCACACGGAAACCACTGTAGCACACAGCACCTGCATTCTGTCTAGGTCTGAGGGTCAGGAAGCTCTCATACTAACTTAAAGACATCAGTATCAAGACAAAACATTTTCTTCCCTCAATAAGAAGCATTCACTTTTAGCAGCCAGTATCCATATGCGAAAAGTCAAAATTCAAGTGACGTGCCAGGTTACTGAGACGAATACATGGAAACTCGGTTTTTGAGTATCAGGTTTTATATAAATGTTACAGAATCCATGTTTTCTCCACAGATTTTACCATCAACAGCTAGATACCAGCGTATCCCAACTTATCGATCTGTGTCCTTAGACTACCCAGATGCACTTCTTTTCTATGCTTCCCGACCCTCATGGGGCCTCCCTTTTTCACCTCCAAGCTGGAGCTCAGCCTGCCAAGTCATCACAAAACAGTTTTCCCTGTTCCATCTGCCAAACCACATCAACAGAACTGAAGGCTCACTTCCTCCAGGAAGTGTTCTCCAATTAACCCCACCCATTTTCTAACTCATCTATACCAATCTCAACACTTCTTGATAAAGGCTGGATAAATGTTACATTTATTTATTTTTTTTAATCACTACTCTCCCTTCTTGCCACCCAAGCACTTAATAAGCACTATAAACCTTGTACGTATTCAGGGCATCACTAGTCACACTGTATTTATGAGACAGTAAGACCTTTCCTTACCTTCCCAGGGTAAGGCATGCTTCCCATACGCCTACCTCATAACCAATCTTATTTGCCACCCAGGGAAGTTCCCATAAAATCAAACATCAGGCCAGCCATGGTGGCACTGCAGTAATGCAACTCTATGATTTTAAAACATACTTCCTGTGTTCCTGGGTTCGCATCCTGACACCGTACTATACACACCAGGTCTAAGCACCTGTGCCTGCAATCTTGGTTAACTCAGACTAGGGGTGGATGATAGCATAAGGACCTCGCTGGGATTGCCTGTCTGCCTGTCTGTCTGTCTGTCTCTCTCTCTCTCGGAAAAAATAAACTAAAAAACAGGGCCAGCAGGTAGCGTGGAGGTTAAGGCAGTTGGATCCCACATGTCTGACTGAGTGGTTCAAATCCCAGACCCAGAGGCTTGAAAAACATGCTGGACACATGTGTGTGCATGCCCAAAATCTGAGAAGAGAATGGAGGAGGAGGGATGGTATGTGGCCATCCCCCCTGGGGGGGGTGATTTCTCACCTTCCCTCTCTCTCTGTCTCTCTCGGGTAGGCAAATGTACCCTATAGCAAACAAAAACAAAAATAGAAACAGAAAGCAACAACAAAAATGAAACTTTACTTACCTGGTCAAATTTCAAGAGTCTCTGAAGGTCATTCCTACTGATAAGACTTTTCACTTCGTTGGCATCAGGCATGCAAAGTCTATAGTTCAAATCTCCCAGCCAAATGACAACACTGAGGATCACAAAATATATGAACAGAAGTAGCAGTAATTACCATGAAAATCGATCAGAAAGGAGTGAAGAAAAGAAAAATAGATTATTGCTAAGGGTTCATCTGAGAAGGGGTTTAAAATTTTAACTAATCCTTTGGGAGAAAGAACTATCAATACCTGAGAAAGACAATGGATTACAAAATGCATGGGGGAATAAGCACTCCACATATAAAGGAAGAAAATGGGGAAATACAGTTTATGTACAGGATTCAGAAGCCAAGGAGTTAATGGACTGAGAAGCATGAAGTTTATTTGCTGGACTAGCTTCAAAATTTTGCCTGGCTGCTTGCCAGGTCTCTAGGGGAAGAGATGTTTTCTGCCTTTCAGAGCTCTGACGTTCTGCAGGCTCTCCGCTAGAGTCTGAATGATAGCTCTCCCAGGCAGGGCCCACTAGGAAAAGCATACCCAGGGCTCAATGGTGTATAGCCAACCTGTCTACCCCTGCAAGACCTACAGTTCAAGGTCCACGTAGGAAGGAGACTGACATGCCATGGGATCCTCTGCTCCCAATCAGAGCTACAGGCCCCTAGATATGCTGACAGCTGCACAAAGGGAGACCCTGAAGTTACCCCATATATTCTTCCCAATGGGTCACTCTGCTGATCTCAAACGTAACATGAAATTTATGGAATCCTGGGGAAATAATTTAAGTAATTTCAGGGCGACTTTATGACCATAAATTTCAAGGACTTGATTTTACCACTGTGAAACAGAATTCCACATGATCCTAATTGTTGAGACTACAGAGAAACAGTCCAATATCATGCCATTCCCTATTCTTTCCTCAATTACCCTACACTCTATTGTTCTTAATAACCCTAAATTATCTTTTGCTTTCCTAATTCCTACCTCCAACCACTTATTCCAAATCACCTGCTCAGAATTTCAACAATAAGTATTCTCTAGAACTAATCATTTTTACCACCAACTGATCTGTTCCTTAGTGGACTTCTGCTTCTGTCCTTAAGTCTCATTCTTCACTGGGACCAGCAGTTGGCATAATGGCTATGTCGCTGGACTCCCATGTAGTCACTGTAGTTTGAGTCCTAGACCCGGTGGCTTAAACTCATGCCAGGTACATGTGTGTACATGCCCAAGATGCCGAGAGGAGAATGGAGGAGAAGGGATTGTGGCGCGGCCATCCCCCTGGGGGGTGATTTCTCACTTTCTGTCCCTCTGTCTCGCTCTGTCTGTCTGGTGAGCGCACGCGCCCTATAGCAAAAACCTCTCCAAAAAAAAAAAAGTCTCATTCTTCACTAACCTCTCCTCTCTGCTGCCCCTATTTTTAGTAATCATACTATTAAAAAATAATAATGTAGATTTTAAAATGCTACTTTGTAAAGACATCCACAACAAATAGGACAATAGGGTTCTATACAAGTGTACATGTTTGTATGTGTCTAGAGAAAAGACTAGAATGGTGTTATTCAATGGAATGATAATGCATGTCACAATTTTAAATTTTCTAGTTGCTGCATTTAAAAAGTAGAAGAACCAAGCAAAAATAACTAATAATAAAGTTCATTTAACAGAATATATCCACAGAATTATCATTTTAACATACGATTAAGAAATTGAGATATTTTACAATCTTTCCCCTATTAAATCTTTGAAATCCAGGATATAGTTTATGCTTATGGCACATCTCAATGTGGACTAACTACTTTCATGTGCCCAATAGCTACATATAACTACTGTCTGTCATACTGGACACAGCAGATGTAGAAGGCTACGCACCCAACTGTTAAGAATGGTTTCCTTTGAAGAGAGGGACTGGCTGGAGAGAGTGGAGGACAAGAAATGGGACTTTTTACTTTTATGTTTTAATAAATTTATAAAAAAATATTTCTAATTTATCATTTAAAAAAACTATAAAAATTGACTTCAATTGACAGACCCCCCTCCAGCATCATTCTAGATGCCCCACTAGTACAACTAACCTTTTCTATGATGTCAAATCCAATTTATCTGCCTTAATGAATTTGCCATACCTCAAAAACCCTCTTTTCTTTGTGACCCCAATCCCTAAATGGTAATCTACTCTTCACAGCGCTACAGTTTCTCAACACATTGATTCTCTTCCTATGTGCACTATTCAAAGGCCACGGGACAGTTAAGCACTCACTCATGCTTCATGATGTTCAGTTGTGGGAGGGTCTGGTTTGGGACCATGAAACTCATTCTTGCACAGATGTCTTTATAATCTTGATTCCTTCTCTCAAATTCCTCCACGTGGGCAGCCAGGTGGGAATTGACAATGCAAAAGGTAGTGTTGTGAAACACAAATCTCACAGCTACCCCACCTTTGTTTCCCTGTTAGCAAGAGTAATTATTCACAGTTAGCACACGCAACTAGCCATCGAACTTCACATGGACTATAAATAATAATCAAGCTCATTTCCAAAGCAACTCACCATTTTCCCCATGATTCCAGTTCCAACTGTTTCTGTGGCAATATCACGGATATATTGATACTGATCCCTTCTGGCAAATATAAGGAGCATCATCCCAACAAGGCGGACTAGCTGAACCTAAGTTCCGGGGAGTTATAAAAGACCAATGTTAATATCACCCTTTACTGCATACCTGACTTCCCACAACTAACTTTCCACTAAGATGCATACTGATTGCCAAACCTGAATCCAAATCTTCTAATTTCCCAGTGGGGACCATGAGGTGCATACACGATTCTCTGAGGAAGCTCCAATCTGGCTCTAACCAATAAAAGTTAAAGGCCCTGAGGGACAATGAGTACACTTAGCTCTATATCCATTGTTTAAATCATTTTTGAGCCTCCAGGAGTGGTAAGCTGCATAAAAAGTTTAAATAATAACAAAAGCCACCAACCCAGCTTGTTCCTTCCATCTTTCCTCCCTAGCTTCTAATTTCTAGGACATTTAAATCTATAAAGCAGCAAACCATTTCACTTTATTTTTATTTATTAATTAATTTATTTTTTGGAGAGGTTTTTGCTATACGGCATGTGCGCTCACCAGAAAGAGAGAGAGAGAGAGACAGAAAGCGAGAAGTCTAC